CCAAAACGTTACGATGACTATGTGTGAGAACTACAGATTATTTTTGTTTGTTTGTTCTCCTCGTATAGTTTATGTTTTGGCCATTTTTGTAGAGATAATGTTTTTGTAGAGAGAATGGAGTTGCCATGGATTTTGTATATAGAATTTGTAGTTACTGCCGAAGGGTACTTGCGTTACATGATGTTCCTTTGTTGTTGACCGGTCACTGTTTTTTTATTTCCTTGTGTTTTCTTTGAGTACGAGTTGCCACTGTACACAGCACCTTGCAGTCCCACTGACAGCTTACTAACCCACTGCAAGTTTTAAGGGGGGGAATATGTGGTGTCGTGTGTTTCGGTTTCTATATCTCGTCTGTAAACCTTGTGAATATATGTGGCGCTGCTGTTATCAGACGACATAATTGTGTCGTCTGATAAAGTTTGATATTCTTTCGTTGGGTCATGGCCGGTTGACTCTCTTCTTCTTCTCGGCCTGAAGGCCGAAACACCACAGAGACGAAATCCCTTCCGTCGGGAACAGCGGTGGAAGTCGCCAAGTTTTTCGTCGAGTCTATTCTTCTTCGACATGGCGCCCCCGAAGTCTATATAACCGACCGAGGGTCATCGTTCTTGGCCCAGCTCACGCAAGAGATCCTTCGGCGCTGCCACACCAGCCATCGTCGGACCACCGCGTACTATCCGCAGATTAACGGGCTAACGGAGCGGCTCAACAAGACGGTCGCCGACATGATCTCCATGTACGTCGACGTAGAGCACAAGAAGTGGGATGTGGTATACCGTATATCACGTTCGCCTACAACACCGCAGCTCAAGAAACAACCGGGTTTACACCATTCGAGCTGGTGCATGGAAAAAAAGTAACGACCATGCTGAACGCGATGCTGCCCCATGAGCCTGTGGATGACGGATGCGACGATGCTCATACGGTCAGTCAGAGAGGCGAAGAAGCACGCCAACTAGCCCGCATTCGAATTCACGATCAACAGAGTGTCGACGCTCGCCGGTACAATCTTCGTCGCCGCGCCGTCCACCTCCAGCCCGGAGACAAAGTGTGGGTGTGGACTCCGATTCGTCGTCACGGTCTCAGCGAGAAACTGCTGAAGCGCTACTTCGGGCCTTACAACGTCATCCGACACCTCGGAGATCTGAACTACGAAGTTCTTCCCGACAGAACGCGACCATAAACCAGACGTCAGCCGCGACCCGAGGTTGTGCACGTCGTCCGGCTGAAGCCGTATTTCGAACGATAGCACTTTCCACCGTCGTCGACGAGTGAACTATGAACTGTGAACTGTGGCTCGCGATTCTGCTGTCCTTTAGTTGTGGATTTTTCTTTCGTTTTGTACTGCATTAGGACGATGCACTTTTTTAACGGGGGGAATGATGCCGCGGGCGCAGCTGACCAAGTAAGCAGACCGATGATGTCGGTATTTTTTGTAAAGATAAGGACAGCATCTCAGCAGCAGTCTGTGAAGTGAAGGCCTACTGCGAGCTTACGGGTTCAGCTGTCAATTCGCCAAAAGTGCAGCGGCTTATGGCATGGAACATGGGCCACAAATCCGACGTTTTTGAAAAAATACATTTTACGTCGACACCTCCAAAGTACTTAGGCGTTTCTCTACAACATTATAAGAGACCGAACATATACTGGTCATCAGTAGTGCAGAAAACGCGCGAGGCAGCTAGCTGGCAAATGGAAAGGATGGGATATGTCCATTTTTACGCGAGCTACCGTATGTCCCTCAAGTGCTGTCGTGTGCTACAGTGAATATTCAGAAATTCTGTCGTGTTTTTGCCGTTTTCATCTGGAGATCAAGATGGGAGAGAATGCGTCGCGACAATTTGTTTCGTCGCGTTACTAAAGGAGATCTGTCGTTATCTCACGTGTTCGTTAGGCAGACCGTATCCCGTTTTATGTTTCTTAGAGAACAAACCAGCGCTTTTCTTCGGACGGTAATTCAAATGACACTTGCAGATGAAATCCCTTTCTATGTTGTTTCTTGATGTACACCCGAGCAGAGGAAACTCAGCAGTTTTTTTCGAGAAGTGGTAGAAGCGTGTCGTTTTTTGTGTGTGCGTTTTTCTCTTCAATACTTGTCGACGGTCACACGCAAGCGCTTAACTCGTGACCTTATTGAAAGTGTTTTTTCCGAGCCGTTATATCGTTCCATGTTTCATTCAGTCCCAGAGCGTAATGTGTTATCTACAATTAAAAAGATGACCATTGCCACTCCTATTAAAACATTGCTTTTTTCAGCCGCACACCAATACACTCCTTGTAAAAACTTGGCTTGAGGGAAAAAAAAATACGTACCGTGGGGTGTTGATTTTTTTTTCTGCAAAAAATCTGAAATTATCGAACATGGTTTTCTCGACTGCTGGGCCGCTTTCCTTTTTTGGGACGTCCTCCAGCAAACTGTTAAAAAAGACTTGCCTTAAACCCCATACGGCATTAGGTTTCTTCCTGTGGAGAAACAAGTTGAAATCCCAGTCGATCTAGTCATGCTCCTCGGCCTCCATGCCATATGGAGAAGTATTATGGCAATGAGGCATGCCGACGTTGATGCCCGACCCGTACGCATGTATTTCATAGAATCTACCTGCAAATTAAAATCTGCATACGCCACTTTGTTTTGTGCGCCTGATTGGGTGTCAATTCTAGACGTACTTGAGATCTTGAAAGAATTTTAAATTTTACGACCTCGCATAAGTGATCTTTATGAAGTTAATTTAACAGTGTGATCCTTTTCTATTGTACATGTCCAAACCGGCAATAAAAAAAAGAAGAAAAAAGGAAAGCGCGCCCGTGGCATAACGGTTATCGCGCTTGTATTCCACGCAGAAGCCCCGGGTTCGATTCCTGGCCGCGTCTTTGCGTTTTTGTTGACGCTGTAATGTTCTGCTAAATTCGAAAACCGTCTTGCTGATTCGAGGTTAAATGTTCTCCACACCGAACCTTCTACGCCGAATGTTCCAGAAGCTTACGCGTGTATCTAAAAGGCCCCGCGAGGCAAGCTGCAGTCAGTTTTCGCCTCAGCGTTCGACTCTGCTGTCACGCCGACATCAACGCCCACGACGCTCTGCTTTCTTCTGTTTCCTTTTTATTTTTGGGCACAAGACCGCCCCATTATACGTTTTGTTTCTTCAGTTATTATCGCCTCATCAATTGTCGTTCGTGACAATAGCTTAGGTAAAGTAGTATCCCCGCAAATTGACAATTTTTTTCCAATGTCTGCTTGAACGGACCTTTATAGAAACTATGTGAAGAGTACAAAGAAGTATCTTCCATAATGTCTGTTCGTAAAAAAAAGACAAAAATAAAAAAAAACATCGTCAAGAGGGAAAAAAAGAGCTTCTAAATACATTGGTAACAAGGTAAACTCAACATTTTTTGAAGATGCAAATCTGACTTCTGAGATTTTTCTTTTTGTGTTTCGCTTCCACAACCCCCTGATTTTGAACATGAATCTGAATGAAAGGTTACGTTGCATCTTATTTGCTTCTGGAGATAAACATAGCCGGGTTGGTGGATCCGTTCATGGTAGTATATCAAAGGGAAGGCATGCTTCCTATCAGAAAGGTTATTGGTTTCTAGCATAAAATATTGACAACAAATAAATTTCAACATATGACCAAAATCTTTTGTTTGAGTACTCATCATGACATAAATGAGAGCTGGTGTCGCCATCACGAGGAACTCAGGTTCGATACCATAGAATCCCTTCGAATTCATGTTCCAACTGCTGAAGTAAAATGTGAAAGATACATAGCATTTTACAATATGGTAGCCGTAGTCTCATATGCCAAAGTCAATGCATGCGATAACGCGATACTAATGAATTTCGTCATCGTATCATATAATTACACTTTTTCCCACTTATTAACATAACCACCTGCACCACGTTCCTAACCCTACCCATGGACCGTTGCAACGCTCGTAAATCAACTGTTTAGGTTTCAATTTTCACTGCCAGCAGGAACGTTTTCGTGACTTCGGAACACAATGAAAGAACGCGTTCTGTGTGTGTCTACTAAATGTGGCACTTGTCAAGAGCTCATTTTGAACTAAAACTGGCAATTGCATGATCTAGAACCTGCACTGTGCTTAAAATGAAATTCAACCGTTCCAGCCGAAACACAAATGAAGTCGTTCGAAATCTTTCCAAAATAGTTCGGGAAATGTATCTTATTATTTATACGAATATCCACGATAAACAAGCATCCTAATAAAAAAAAATGAAAGCTGTTTTCAACTCCCTGTAACGCCGGATTAGAGCGCAGCTCTGCAGGATAAGGGTGGAAGGCTACTGAGGGATAGGTGACTCCCTGAGGTCACGTGACCTCAGGGGGGGGGGGGGGCGGGGGGGGGGGGGGGTGACGCCAGGGCAACTCTCATAACCCTCATGACCCTCGGAAGGGTTGCCCTCATGATTCCCGGGAGGGTAACCCTTTTGGGGGGTAACTAACCCTCGCAACCCTGGTAGCCCTCGTAACCCTCTCGAGCGTAATCTTCGTGACGTCATTATGGGAAACTTCCCATAATGCAACGCGCGGTTACGCCGAGGGCGACGCCGACGCCGCTCAAGCCGGAAACGGGCGCCTAAGAGCTGCGCTCTAAAAGTAATTCAAATATATCAGCCGAGCAAAAAAAAAAAAAAAAAACAGAGAGAATTACCTGTACGGTCCCGCATCCACAAGAATCCTGGTCTCTAACTCTTACTGATGTCCGATGAGTATCAGAACTGGTAATAGATAATGCCATAAATATAGAAAAACATTGCTAGTACGTTTTATTGGCATACACACCTACCTGACTTATCATAAAAGAAAAATGTTTTGTGGTTTATAGCGCCCGTGGTATTTTATGCAACAAAAATCTAAAGTGACTCGTGGAATTCGCAATTAATGCGCTTTTGCTTGACTCTCGCTGTCTCGCGTTTTGTTTCTGAGAGTGCAAACTGCATCCCACTCTGACATTACATTGTTTCATGATGTCCTCAGTTCGTCGGGAGGCGTGCCGCGCAAGGCACCTAAGCCGGGACGAACTGGTGGACGGGCTCTGCATGCCCGTCCACGAGTGCCTGCAATCTCTCAAAGACGTGGGCAAGCTTAAGTTCCCTCTCTTCTGCGGTGTTCGGATCCTGCTGCCCATCGTATGCTGCCCTCAGCCGCAGCGGTCTGCACCGACGACCACCACCACTACCACAACTACCACAACGACAACCACATCAACAACAATCGCTCCACCGGTGATGGGTAAGTCGGGCTCACCTCCGACTCGCTAGAGTCGCCAGCAGGATGACTATAAAAGGGTAAACTTTTCGTCCTGCTGTCTCCAGCGCGACAAAAAACCCTGATACTGCTTAGGTGTCTGGTGACCTTGGAGTATGGACGTGCAGTCAAAACACGACAGATTTTATCAAAACCTTTCCGTTCTATTTCTGACAGTAGCCATTGTACTGGAACAAATCTTCCCCTAGGTTACAATATTGGAACGAAATCGCCCATGCACCGACTATCACGCTGTCAATGTAGGAACAGGCCGTGCACGTGTCGGCATCTTTAACTTTTTTTTTTAGATAAACAAGCTAGAAGAAATTAGACTTTGCAGGGGCCTTCCTGATTTAGACACTTCATTTATTAATCTTTTTTACTTCTTTTTAGACGAGTTATTGTCAGATCAAAGATATATACAAGTAGCATTGGCGACGTCAGTGAAAATCGCCACGTAGCGCCAACCCCGAGAAGCTCTGAGCGAAGGTTGTTTCGTCTGCTTTGTGCTACAGTTGCTTGGTTCTTATAGGCACCACAACTTTACTGACTTAAGATAAAGTAAATGATCATGGTTCATTGGGGCCATAACAAAATAGGTAGTGAACAAGGGCGTGAAAACATCTTAGTGGTATGCAATATTTTTGATTCGAGAGATGAAAACCAACTTTACGTGAACCATGTTTCTCCACAATACTTGTTGCGAGACCCACGGTGGATTTACAAAAAAAAAAAATTTCGCAACAGTCAGCTGTGTATTTGCTTGTTAGTAAAGATAATATCAAAACCATTTAAATTTAAAACGTCAGAAAAATTCGAATGTCATGACATACGCTATTATCAAATTGGATACCGTGACGTGTTCATGGGCGCAAAAGTGATTTTCACCCTTGCTAGAGACTAGTTTACTCGAAAAATTAAATTTAGCGAATCACCCACCGCTACCAAAAATATGGTTACGCAAACAATTCAGGCAGAATGACAATATTATACATGCAGTATTGCAGTTTTTTAAAGCACCAGTTTACATTCGCAGAAACACAGATCCGTAATAATTCCTTGTAGCCATTAAAATTAATATATTTGAAATATAATAATCCTTTAGTAAAAACGCAAGCCTACCTGATATTTTTTTTAAAAGCCCTTGTCAACAATTTTTGCTGAAGAGTGGTAGGGTCGCGCTTCTTCACCCTCTTGAGACACCTTTACTTATGCAACAATCAAGCTTGAACTTGGTAAACCAAAATACAGTTAAATGCAGAATTGCAATCCTGAAAATCCGGTAACGCCGGCGATTGGCGGCCTCACAGCAACCATCATATTTTGCAAATGTGCGATTCGGAGTTTTTTTTTTTTATTAACATTTTTTGGCCATCATCAAACACTTTACACGTTGTACCTATAAAACACAAAGACGGTCCAGTTAAGTCATGTTTGACACCTCTTCGTCCTGTTTCGGCGAGCGAAATTACATTTTTTGTGATCGGAGCGAGGACGGGATTTGCGCTCGTCGATGGGCAATCGTCTTCGTACCGGTCATAGATGCAAAAGGTTTCTTAGGGAGTTTGAGTAGCTGGTTCCGATAACCATACTCGATACTTCTCCGCACATTTGCGCATGCGTCCTGTGTCGGTATCAAAATGAAAAAAAAAAAAAAAAAATCTGTGCTTTTATATTGATTTAGGCACCGTTTTGGGGTAAAATTCGTAGTTTTGAGTAAAAATTATAAATTTGGGACCATTGTTAAAAAAAAATAGTAATCAAGTGGAAAACTTGTCGAGTTTTCTGCTTTCAAGTTGGTGCCCATCGAAGTGGTCAGGGAGGAAACTAACTTTACTCCCACCGGTCGCCGATCGCAAGTTTGTCCACTCGCTATTTTGTCACATCCCGAAACACTGCGTTACGACTTTTCCATGACACAATCAAATTAATTAAGTTGAATTAATTAAACCAATATTGTAATGCAAAATAGTTTAAAAAAATGTAAAAAAAAAACAAAAAAAACATGTGATTTCTGGCAAAATGCGGCAAGTTCTCTCGTCGGACCTATTTAAGACATTTTGGGGACCGTGACTTCACGAGAAAGCTCAGTCTGTGGTCTTTATATTGCGTTATATTCATCATTATATGTACATTGAAGATATACTAAATACAATTTTACAAGCGAATGTTTCGCAAACATGGCAATTTCAGGATTGATTTTCACAAAAAAGCTAATTCTACTTCCTCAATCTTCATTAGTTGCATGATATGATAATCATCTATATACCATATAAATATACTATATATTTGCGTTATTTTTTATGCTTCCATGTTATTTAAGATTGGCCTAAAAATTTCTAATGCGAGGACGCATTCAAAACGCTCAAATGCAAGTTTTCAAGCTTTATTTTCAGTCCTACAAACCAAATGTATAGTTCTATTAACATTTTACGATACACCATAATAATATCTTGCAACTAATAATACACGAGGCAAATAAACCCGGTGGGTTTAAAAATATCGGTCCATCTTTTTTTTTAAAGATTTTCGAAACTTTCAATACTGAAAACAAAGAAATCTCAGTGTCAAGGTTGTTCTGCGAAGCCCATCTGTGCTAAGTCAGCTCAGGCTGTACTTCCCGAAACGAGGGCGCCACAGTTAGCTGAAAGCTTCAGCGCAAGGGGCAGGTTCCCTATAGCCATCCTACCGCCGGTTCACAAGCTCTGAAGCGACGTCTCGTTGAAACTCAGGTCCGTGCCAGACGCAGACAGGGCAGCCGGGCACTTGCATGCCGATCTTTGACTGCAAGCCACTCGAGGAGCAAGTGAGCCAGGGCAAGTACCCGCCGCTCTGCAACATCCAGAATCAAATACCCTACGCCTGCTGCCCTCGGAACGAGACTCCCCAGGCGGAGCCAATCAAGGTTGACGCCGTGGCCCGCGCAGTCAAGGTCTCCGATCTCGTCTACGAGAACGGCATATGTACGTAGGCCAATCAAGACCCCCTCAACCTCTAAATCCTTCTTATTAAGTTTTTTTGGCTTAAAATAAATATTCCCGAATGAGCCATCCACCTGGAAATGTCATAAGGATTAATGATTTGTAAAGAAAAAATAAAGGCTGATTCACACACTTGCGACCGCGACCGACACAACCTGTTTTTTAGCATCGTTTGAGTGCTTACGACATGCAGCTCGCTAGGAAGGATGGAGGTTGGAAGCGCGAAAAAGCTGGTCGTGTCGATCGTAACGCATTCGAACGCAAATGAATGAACCCGGCTTTCATCACTTATGTACGTTCCTGGGATAGTTGGTGCACATTTAAAACCCAAATAAATGCTTTCAAAAGTGATCAGGACAATAGAGTAGACACCGGGAAAATACGGTAACTTTCCCGTTACCGAGCTTGTTTTCCCTGGCAAGAACAAGGAATGGACCACCAGCAGTGTGCGATGGCGTCGCATGCGAGCCATTAACCACTAATTCAATATATATATAGATTATACGCAGGCTGAAAACTTTCCGGTCCCAATACAAAACCACCGATCCTCATTCGTCGGTCTCAAAAATACACAATGAATACAAAAAAGCGATAAAACAAACGTTGCATTCAAAAATACAAAATCAATTCCCGTTAAAAAACACCATTAAGTAATCATCGGTGTCAAAGGTACTAAACACACTAAAAGCAAAAACTACAATTTTCTGGAAATTTAAATTTCCAAAAACTGTCGTTCGTTTTTGTGGTTCTGCAGCATATAAACTAACGTTGCTTCTAAGGCCCTTGGACGGCCCTCAAAAATCGGCTTCTGAACGTATCGTGCTGCAAATCTCTACAGAAGTGCAAACAGGTAGCGCACGTTTACAGTGAAAAAAAAAACAAAAAAACATATCGTTCCAAAATTACAAAACAAAACAACAGAAACCGGTTTTGGGCAATCTTCGCCGCCACTTCGTAGACGATGCTCGCGTAGTCAGACATGCTGCCAACAGAGGGCGTACGTTACATCGAGAGAGTTTCAGGTTATTCGGGTTTTTTAGCAGAATCGCCTGCTAGCATAACCCGAAAGGTAGTGCCTGGAATGCTTCTCCGGCTGATGTGTTTGGCGTACTGTCTCGTCCATACATTAAAAGTGGTTCTGAAGTGGCAGAAAATGATGTCAAAGAAGCTGGAATGTCACACTGTCGGATGTTGCGATACGGGCGGTCTGTAGTAAAAATGGTGGCGAGAGTCAGTAGCAAACGCGAGTGTCCCTGTCGTCACGGCTTCCCAACTTCTGGCTGCCGAAGCTTCCGTGGACTGCAACACTGGAGAGCGACCTGCAGCGGAACAGATATCTGCCACATCCACCCCCACTGCTGTCACGCCGCTAGGATCGCGACCAGTGACAGCATGCCACTTCTATGACGTCAGAAGTGCTATGCTCGAAATCTTACTCGAGGAACATGTCTCCTACGTCAGCGGGTAATACCACGTGACATCGCAGGTAAACGATCCGCGAGTAGATTTTGGAACGGCCAGGATAATCACCTGGATACTACGCGGATTGGCTTTGTCTTGGGCTACGGCAAGAAAACATAGCAGCGAAGTCGGAAAATAGCAGACGACCTCTTTTGATCATGGAGAGACCACTCAAAGAGACGATAATGTTAACCGCTTCCAAGTTTTTCTTTGACAGTGACGTCGCGGTGTTTTCTGAGATGGCTTCACCAGCTCCTTTTGCTCACTTTCCTTTTGAGCTGTATATTGAGATAAAAATTACTTATTCGTTTCAGTTTGACATCAACATTTTTGTGTTGATTAATCTGCGCGATCGCTGTAAGTGCAGTCCAGGTGCCATGAACAGCCTCAACTCATCGTAATTAGCACCGATTACGTTTTGCGGATATTGCTTCCACACGGCGTCGCGGTAGAGCGCATGGGGCTTTCTCAACAGGGATATGTAACTTACGATCGCCTTGCCGCGAATAGGATTATAAAATCACGGAGAACACCTCGAAACCGCTATAGACAGTTTATTAAGGAGGGAGATGTGGCGGGGTTGTTGACTGATTGTATACATAAAATCTTCGATGCCTTCACTGCTTTACAAGCGTTACCCTTTAATTACACACGCTCTTGGGAGAAAGAAAAACCCGAAAAACTTCCTCAATCTCTACTGCGTTCGAACATTTTCATCTCTTAACGTAAGAATACGAAGTTCCCTCCAACGCCGAGGACGAGGATACGGAGAATCTCCTGTTTACGCTCGCACTCTAATAATAACAACAAGTATACCTCCCTGAGGTAACGTACACGGTCTGGATGCGTTGCAATCAATTCCTGCGTTGTAAACAGCAAATTGCAGTAACCACACATGAATGGCTGCACCTCATTCCTTGTTAATTCGAACGCCTGCCACCAAAGCCAACGGAGCCGACGAGCTTTGACGGCTGTCGGCGCAGAAAGCAGACGACGAACAGATCACGTGACGTATTTACTGGATTTGATCCCGGGTTACCCCCCGGATCGAGGAGTGTAACGTCAGTAATCACTCCGGAGTGAACAACCGGCTTCTGGAACGCAAGTTCTGACGTCATCGAGTAAGCGCGAGTAAGTTTTGAAACGCCAAGGTACGAAACCTTTACTCCGGAGTCGGATCGAGTAAATTTTGGAACACAGCCAAGCTGTACATCGACGAACCAATTTTCTTTTTAACTTGATAAACACGCCAGTCGGAGACGCGTTCCAGGCACCATATGCGAATCGGCCGCCGTTCCGTCGACGCGGCGTGCGCCATCTTTCGGCAGCGCTACTCACTACGCGTGCATCGTCTGCGAAGTGGGGTCCCTACACTGCCCAGGTCAGGTTTTTGTTTTTGTTTCTTTTGAACGATGTAACTTCGTCCTTTCATTTCTTTCACTAACCTTTCATTTCCTTCTTGCTCCTGTGTAGTAAATCGCAGGGCGATTCGTTGAGTAAATAATTTCTGTTGTCTGTCTATTTAAAAAAAAATTACTTGCTGTGGAGTGTAGAAAGAGAGTGGCAGCTGGAGAAAGATTTTTCTGCTGCTAGGACTGTTTTTCTGGAAACCCGTACCTATTAATCTTAAACTTTTAGTTTTCATCTTGCTGTTTTTACCGGTGATGACCACTTGTAGCGTTTGTACGAAGCACATCGCAGGAATTCACCGTTCTTTTTTTAATATTAAGCACTGAAAAAAGCTTTTGGCGCGTGTCTTAAAAATAAATTGTGACCGGAAAATGTGCGGCCTAAATGTGAGAAAGGCATTAGAGATAAAGTATACCATATTTTCAGTTTGCGGGAAGGGGAGAACACGAACTGGTCACCACGTCTTCATTCCTATGGTTCACGGGGGCAAAAACGCTGCCCATGGATTGTATCTATTTGCTGTGAGTTGCAGGTCTGTCTCATATTTTGGTGGTGGTGACGTTACAAATTTCTTCGCCTGTTTCTTTTTTTTTTTTTTGAGTATTGCATTTTTTCAACAATGTCAAAGTTTTTATTTTAGTTTGATTTACAGGATACTGCAAGCCAAGCAATATTAAATCTAATGTTTGAACAGAAATAAATTACGATATCGTCGAAAAAAGATCGACGTGTACTTGTTCTATCTCCAAAAGGCCGGTCATTGACATCTACAGGTTGTTTCTGAGTGGTGTTCGGTCGTAAAACAAAATATATATTAATAAGCCAATGAACAGGATAGAATAAAACCTTTAGCATTGGTGCATTAACCGTACTCAAATTTAACGTGTAGGTTTTTTCTTTTGTCTAACCATCTAAAAAAGGTACAATTAAAATTGGGTAGCGACCTTTACCCTAAGTCATACGTGCATACGATTCAGGTTAAAATTTTATTTTATTTTGTTTAGATGACTATTTACATCATTTTATATTATATTTGACTTGGCATCGATATACTATATATAGAGGGTGCTTTTGTTACGTTTAACGGATTTGTTTAAAAAAATCCTTGATAGTCCAGCTATACGGTCTATGCAGGCGAGTTTTACGGCCAGGGTGACTTAGTATATGGGGATCATAGTAGCGATCAGTCAGCTAATTAATTACGATTTGTAAATTAACTTCCTAATTAGTGAAAGTATACATATGGTTTCAATTAGAAAATAGCTGAGCTTCATCGAAAACCACTGAATCGGTACTGTTTATAAATACTTTGAGCGCGTGGTAGGAGTAGTAGTGGTCTAAAACTACTACTCGTGCGGAAAAATTACGGGGATGGGCTGTCGCACCGGTAGCTTTGTACCTGTTGCACGAGTAATAACTCTAGCGCACTACTGCAATTTTCACGCGAACAAAGCCTTTCTCAGAATTTATGATTTAGTACTTTACGATGGCGATCAACGAATTTCTGATTGGTACGTGATGCCTATTTTAGCAACTGTAGAGTTAATTAGCAGATTTTGCTTAACTAGCCGACTGATCGTTACGATAATCCCCCTATACCATGTCGCCCTGGCCGTACAACTCACCGGCACAAACCGCATAAGCGTAGCTAGGTCTTACTTTTTTGTTTTACATTTTAACAAATCTGTTCAGCCTAAAAAAAAATCTATATTAAACGTGAAGGTCACGTGACGCGGGCTCATGTGAAGTGAATTTCACTTCTAAATATAGCAAGAAAACTGAATGTGTGCATACGTTATGTGACTTCAATTTTCCGCTAATAAAAACGGTGGCCGCCTCGGTGGCTCTGAGGCAAAGTTCCCGCTTACGGATCACCAGGGGGCGGATCAGGATCCCGGCCGAAGTGCCCACAATCTGACGCGGTTGCGGAAAAGGCGCCGTTTAACCGAGCTTTCGGATGCGCGTCAAAAGATCCCCAGGTGGTCGATATTAATCCTCAGTCTTCGGCTGGGGCGTGCCAGATGTCCTTCATTTGTATGAAACGTAAAACCCCCAAATGCGGTAGTTAATTATTTGGCTAATTAGTATGTTTCTTGTAACCGCTGGCTTCCGCGGTGGCTGGCGGTTTGGTACCGATAAGTGTTTCTTGTTTTATCCTGAACCGCCACATTGGAAGGAAAGTCTTCTCTGAAACAATTGGTATATATTTAGCATGATAATAGTGACAGCAGAGAGCAGAGAAGAGCAAAATGCAAAAAAAAACAAAAAAGCACAATCGATTTATGAAGTTAGACCCAGCACATGGTGCGAGCGACATTGTCGGGCATGCCACTGCCCTGTCGTCGCCGTCACTTTCCTCGCAATAATGATATGTGTGTACGTGTGTGCGTGTTTCATAAGTTTCTTTCTCTTGTTACGTTTTACAATTTTCTTTTTTATCTGCCCCATTACTGCAAGGTTTCCTTTTTTCACAAACTAGCAAACAAACGCATAAACTGAGGTTTAAACTAAGGAGGCTGTATTGGTCCCTAGGTTTCGGGACGTCAGTTTACGTGCCATGAATTTTTCCTCCAAAATTAGCAGGGCAACTGAGTTGGTGTACAAGGCATGTGACGTCAATTTTTCCGCAGCGGGGATACTGAATCGGTCTGTAGGTCCCGTGACGTGAGGTCAGGTGACATCAGATTTCTCGCTAAATTTAGAGGGTAACTGATTCGGGCTGTAGTTCAAGTGACGTCATTTTTTTCGCTAAATGTAACGATGGAACTGAATCGGTCTCTAAGTCTCGTGACGTCAGGTAACGTGACATCCAAATTCTCTCTAACTGTAGCGTGGTAACTGGACTCGTGTATAGGTGACGTAACAGCACTCCCCCCCCCCCCCCCCCCCCCTGCCCCCCGCCGTCGCTAAGTTAAGCGGAAAATGCAGTTCATGCTAAAAAAGAAAACAAACGAAAAGCTCAGTTTTTTTAATGTACGAAGAAACGAAAAAAAACATTTTGTTCTTAGCCCGAGACTGAGGCAGGAAAAGAGGAAAGTTTCGAAGTAGAAGAAAAATGAACAGTCGAGGACGTGTCCTCGACTGTTCATTTTTCTTCTACTTCGAAACTTTCCTCTTTTCCTGCCTCAGTCTCGGGCTAAGAACAAAATGGTTAACATCCACCAGCTCGCCTGCGCAATCACTACATTATCATTGAAAAAAAACAGTTTGGATCACGCTGCTTCACCCAGATGAGGCCACACACGCTCGATTCTTCGTAATCTTGTTTCAAGTGCTCATCACAAACAGTTTTTTTTTTGTTGATATATTTGTGTTTTCTTTCATGGTGTGCCAACTGTACGTAGCAACGTAAGTCAGACAATTTTTTTACCGTTTTGTTTCCTGTGCATTGGAAAACAATTTTGTTTTGGAAATCTCAATAAATCTGTGCCTGTCAGCATATCGCTAATATGCTCAACACGATCGCAAAAAAAAAAAAAAGTTTTATTCTAAACTGTAAAGCAATGTACCTAAAACTTACCGTCTGGAGTATGATGATAGGAATGCTGATAAATAGAATGGAGGGGGTTATCCCGTAGTTGTGTATGCTATACAAAATTACGGTCGAGAGTGAGCGTGTTCTTGCCGTTGGCTTTAGCAACTCGAAATGCCCGCTAACGCAGGTCATTGAATGAGTCATATTGTTTTTATGCTATTAGATAAAAATTAAGATAATTTTAGAATAGTGTAAAGGATCTGGTATTAGCATTGCGTACAAAACACTGAAGCTCTCTGCGGAACGCTATTGGTCGCGTCGAACCAGCACTGTACTGCAGCGGAACACAACGGTATTCGCAAGCAGCTCCACCACCACCTAAGTTTTACCGCTAACGCCCCCAGTTTATTAAGGGCTCTCACGAAAATGTCTCTCATACTGCGGGCTTATGAAATATCGTTGAAATATACACAAATAGAAGATGCATACTTTCTTCATCGGAAAACTAATCAAGGGACATACACCAACAGACTTATTTTAAACGCATATATTGAAATCGTTTCTCCATTCAAAACGCCAGGTGTTATTTTCCCAAAGTACATTTGATCGGACAACTATTACCATCTCTAAGTTATCTTGACTCGTCGGCTTGCCCTACCGAAAATGCTCTATCTTGCTTATATCAGTGTAATTATTTACAACACACTTTTTACTGATATTGAAGCATTTGGGCGAAACCACGTCTTCAAATATGTATATTTCTCTCAAGATCTTCAGAATTTCCTAAGATATGACAGAGGACTTTCACATTGCTGATGTGTTCAATCAACTCGCAGTTATAACCCTACACAATTTTTACAATTTTAAGCCGAGCGCTAGTCTCAAAGTCGAGGGAAATAGAAACTCAAAATATCTGAACCGCCTTGCATTTCCCACTCGAAAGTCAAAGCATAGAACACCCGTAACGCTGAGTATTAAGAGGTGACCCCTTCACAAAAGAAAGTACGCAAGGCATAAGCTAAAAAGTGCCCATAGATGTATACACAAAAGTTTCACCAGTCGCTATTCGGGAATCGAGTCTCCAACAATACTTCATCTGCGATTTTGTTTCGGATATAGTTGATACATAAATATGAATGAATTTTATATTGCAGAGTCGAATATTTCTTGCCCGATTGAATTTATATTGTACAGTGTGTCAATCCAACCCTTTTGTTTATTAATTTGTAATGAACTAGTTTAAATATTTGTTTTTATAATCTCAAGGCGCGGAGGCATACTACAAAGATGAATGATTGTAGCAGATGAATTCGTTGCACTGTTTCTTGTATTTTGTAATCTCAGAAATGGCAGCGATGGAGTCAGGGAGCTGGTTCCAGTCGTTTTATTTCAGCATGAAGGAGTCAATATCAAGATTTGTTCGACAAGCTGATGTTTGAAACTTAAACTGATTATCCGTGAGAGATGACATGTATAATTGATGAAGAACCAATTGATCTTTAAAAAGCAGGTTAGAATGGACTTCATTAAAAAAAAAGAAATAGACAATATTATTTAAGACGTATTTTTTTTTCTCAAGCTGTTTCATGTGTGCCATAGTAAATTGTCGGGAATCGCGGAAGCTACTTTTCAGCTTTTTTTGCGTCCTATCCCTTTGCTTTTTATTATAAGCCATGCGCCATGCGCCAATCCAAACCGCGGCCTTGGATTGGCGCATGGCGATTTCGCGCATGCAGAGCGTGGAACACGGAATGCTAACGCAAACGAATAGCGCTTGTGTTTGCTCGTATACGCAAACTAAAACTCACCATTGCTAGTAGGCGCGAACGCAGGCACGGTACTTTTGCATTAGCACTCCGTATTCTATAATGTAGGTGCGTGGAACTAAAACTGCGGCGTTAGATTGGCACATGGGAACGGCGCAAATGCGCAGCGTGGAAGACTAAACATTAACGTAGACGTAAAGCGCTTGCGTTTGGTTTCATGGGCAAAACTAATACCATATACTAACAAGCGTACATCCGCATAGCTCGATGCGTTGCGTCGTACGTTTGGCGCATTTTCAGTGAGGAGTACGTAACACTAGCATAAGCTAACAGTGCTTGCGTTTGCTCCTATGCGCGATACTAGAACTCTCTACTTGAAAGTTTTGGTTTGCGCTTTTGTTTCTCCGCTACGCTTCCTGCAACAGAAACGCCGCTAATGCGCATGCGAGCTACAAGCATTGTCTCTAGACTTATGGGGCTCTTTGCGAGTTGCCCAGAGTTCTGCGGGACGGCGGATACAACTTAAAAAAAAGATTCCTATGGCCACAAAGAAAATTAAAAGCGGCGACACGTATATATATATATATATATATATATATATATATATATATATATATATATATATATATATATATATATATAAAAGTTTGATTACTAAAAAGAAGGAGGACGTATAGATACATAGCCGGATATTTCGCCCACAAAGCGGCAGATAGCCCTGTCACACCTTTGTCTGTAGTTGGAAGAAAATATTCATAATATTTTTGACATTCCTGAACAAAACAAGTTAATTGAAAATTCGAAAAAAAATAAAACCCAACTGCAGGAAAGATTAGTTTTAAGCTGACTCGGTGCCCATTCAAGTGTCACATTTTCTTAACGGTCCGAGTGTTTCTCGCAGGTGGCTATTTATCGAGATAGGGTGAGCATCCGGAACTTCTGGTGCGGGGGGACCCTCATCACCAAAACCATCATCCTGTCCGCAGCGCACTGCTTCTTCGGAACACTGTGTGAACGTCGTTTCTTCTGCTTAGCAAATATTTAATTTTTTTGCTTCACAATGGCGAAACGAAATCGTAATAATGATACAAGAAACGTCATGACTTTGTTTTGTTTATTTTTGTTTGTTGAAGCGACAGAGCAGACATGAAACTAATAAACTACCGGTTCTTTCAACGTTCTAATAGCGCTCTAAGCCATTTAAAGCAGCGTTTCATAGAGATACATGAATAGAAATTTTGAAATACGAATACTGGGATACATGACAAAGACAGCTACAATACTTATACTGAGATACATCCGCACAAAAGTATTAAGATACATATCACAAAAACATTTGAAAAACAGAAATACATTTGAAAAATACAAATACAAGAGTTATAATTTTGCCGGGCGAAAACACTGACATATATTTTAAAAAACGCTTTGTTGAGATGTGAATTCTTGTAACAGAGAGTTACTATTTGGAAAATTAAAATAAAACCATAATTTGCTACATATTTTATTTTTTTATACGGAAGCAATACCGAACTAATGGAAACATGCAACTTTGCTGCTAGAGTCAACCACATTTGATGAAAAGTAGCAGCTCGTCGGAGAGCCGCAGCAGATTTGGGCAGAGTCATGTTAGCGTAGAAAATGAAGCGTCCCCCGTTATCGTAAATTTATTTCCCACATTCAGATGTACACGCATGTTTAACCCAAAAATACTATAAGAACCAACTTCTACTCAACCCGTGCGCAAGCAGCTGTCTGAAGAAGTGATCGAACCAAGTAGAAACAATTAAAGTGTGTGTTGCAAAAAATATCCATCGAGGCACCCACAATGCCGCTTGGTAACTTCCTGAGATGTACTGTTTACCAACTAATAAAACCGGGCAGGTGCACCACACGTACATTTACACAGAGTCACTAACACCTTTAGTGAAAACCCCGAACGCGCAACCAACATCCTCCGCCATTGAGAAATCCAGAGCACAGTCGCAGTGCCGTCCTTTGGTGCCGCCATGCAGGTGCCTCTTTCGCTCGCTGAATGCATCCGAACTCGAACGGGCGAGGAGGTTTAGAAACCGGGCACTGAGAGCTTTTTCTTGGTCCGCACACCCAGCTGCTATAGAAGACAGGTCCCACGTATGGGGCGGGATGCCGAAACTGAGCGTCCGCTCGTTGTTCCACATTTAGTTTGAGCTCCTTGACTTAGAACAAATTGGTCGACAAGTCTCTGACGAATGCTGCATTTCCTTTCACTACAATAGGTGATCCTCAAGCAAACAGATAAAAGACCCGCTTTTTCCCACGCATCATCTCTCCCTCGCAAACGGGGAGTTGGTGTCCTTGGGCACTCATAGTCTAGCCCGTAAACGACTAGAGCAAAAAAAAAAAAAAAAAACAACAGACAGAGCGATGGGGCCTAGCCAAGGCCTGTCCAGACTCGATACCACAAAAATCGTAAGGCGACACGAGTCTCAAAAATCGCAGAAATTGAAGCGTCCGGTGGTCCGATGTCTGTTTGGGCACAGGCCAAGCGACTATCACGATTTTCCTCCTGATTTCCTCCACTTTTCGGTAACCTCGGTTCTCGTCAGACTCTACGTCCCACGCCTCCTGGCAACGCTGTCCTTCTGTTCTACCGGGCCCTCGAATCCTTGACTGTGTTCCGAAATGTACTCGTTCTTATTCCAGGGTAAGGTGTCTTGAACATTTGTTTTCAAAAACCTACCCGGGTCCAGCGTCGCTTTATCTGTATTGCCATGTGACACGACTCGCCGCAGTACCTAGGATCTATTTTTGATTTTGATTTTGAACACAGCTCTTCCCTTTCCCGTTTTCGAGACCTGAAGAGCAGCGGAGATCTTGAGCGTTTGACCGACAGCCAACACAGCTTGTTAGTTGCTGTTGGGACCCATGTGATGATTATGTTCAAGGCCCCCCCCCCCCCCCCCCTGAAAGAAACGGGTTACCTTTGACAAAAAAAACAACAAAAAAACTGTCCCTCCGAAAAAAAAAACAAAAAAAAAACACAGGTCGGAAGCGCGGCGCCGCGCGATTTATGACGGAGTCGTTTCGCCTCACGATTTTTGTAGTATCCTGTTAAGGCCGGCCTTCCGCGAAGGTCAAGGCAAGGGGAACGTCTACTAAATTTCCTAGACTCGTTCCGAACGCCCGATACAAAATAGACCAGCGTCTTCCCCAACGCATATATCGTGAAGTATCATTTGATCTCCCCAACAGACCCGTGAAAACTATTTTTTATTGGTGTTGGGATTTCTCGGAAAGAACTAAAAGAAAAACTATAGCCTTCTAAAAAAAAAAATGACGGGTCTCGTACACTCTATAGGAAGTGCGGACGAGTACATCATGATTTTAGAAAACTTAGACTATCATCTCAAACCCCTCAACCATTTTTAAGGGTACGTGAAAACTATTAAGACATCCATGTGGGGCCCCTACACGGATTTTCAATAGGGAAATGACGTTGACACCCCCAATATATTTTCTTTTACCGAGCGATTTATTGAGGTGTCGATAGACTGACTACCCAATCTTTGTTTTGCTACAGAGTCACGTATAGTTTTATTAAAGCCATAATGCTCAACTGCAGAAAACCAAAACCGACACGTGAGCACAGAAGCTCATGGCCGCGACATGCCGACGATCTCTACCGAGGAGGAGAGAGAAACGTAGAGCAGGAGAGTGTGGCCAAAAGTCAGGTGACTACATCCGTCCGCGTTTCTTTTCCTCCGCTCCTCAGGCGTGTAAAGCAGACGACGACGACAAACTTGTGTACACCGTTCGTCGTGCAATTGTTTCGGATTTATATCCCTTTCCCTCTTTGTTCTGCGTTGAAAATCGATTGGCCGGTACCAGGAACGACAGCTACGATGTAGCGGCTTGACTTGCGTTTGGACATTGGTCCGTCATGCGCCGCCATTGCGTTGTCCAGCCCGCGTTTCGTAGCCATATTGAGAATGACGTAGTACATGGACTTCCTGTGATCTGCGCAATAATCTTTTCCATATATCTATTTGCAGCATTTTGGAGGCTATAAAAAATGGGGTTCGTACGCTTCCCTATTTTTAATATTGAATGCGTGCCTGAGATTTTCAACGACTTTGAATATATTTGGTACGTTTTAGGTTGACGGCCACGTGATCACAATAAAAGGGAGTGAGCGCGACTGAAACAGGCCAATTTTCGGGCAGAAAGAAGCCGAATTTCGAGCCGCAAAATGTCCTCTTAGTAACAAAGCTTTCAAAAAATCCGTTTAGAAAAAAAAAATTTGGTGAGCGTAAATATTTTGTCAGTGTCCCTTTAAATTTTGGCTGCAGTCATAATGCTCACATATCATACATAACAACAGCATTTGGTCCCTGAACTCCCATTTGCTCCCCGAAGAGACCATCTGGTTCGAGCAAGGTACCGTGCGCAAATGCTGAGGACTAACTGCACTCGACCGGGACTAACCGAAAGGCGCGCGGGTGCAAAAGCAGCTGCGGGTGAAAAAGCGCGGGAGAAAAAGCAGCGAAAGGCGCGCGGGAGTAAGAGCGCGGGAGCAAACGACGCGCGGACGAGGTAGCGGTGTCTGCTGCATAGCCGATGGCCTGTGTTAGCGACGCACTTACTGTTCCGGAACGCAGGGGGAGGTATCCACAGACAATCGTAGCATCGAAAATTGCAGGAGGGGGCATATTGAAGGGTTGAAGCTGACTTTATGACGATTGCAGCCTCTGTTCCAGCACGTCGTGGAAGCCAGCGCTGACTCAAGCGCCGTCATTGTTGATACTCTAGCCATGCGGCTTTTGACGATCGTCCTGGCGTCCTTCCCCTCTGCATTCTTTTGAACGTGCTTTCAAAGCGTTTATATTTTGCTTTTGGCTTAATTGGGATAAAAATAGTCACGTAGCACGTGTTAAAAACGTTTTCAAGGAAAAAAAGATTCATTCTGGTTTATTTTCTTTTTGTATTCTGTAAAATCTGTGTTCTTTTTTTTTTGTGTGTTTTTTCGCAAGAGACGATGACGTTGCCAGGCAGACGCGCATCCGCAAAGCAGGACAGTCTATGCAGGGAAGCAAGAACATGGCTGCTGAGAGCCTATGGGGAAGCTGTTTTATAGACTGCCACAAATAATTACTGTGTGTACCGTTACATCTTAGTAAGATATACACTCCTTGGAAAGTTTAGCAACAATATTGGAGAACAATATTGGTGCAAAAGCAGCACCATATTTGTAACATCGTTCAGGGTTGAGATGGTCACTGACAAAACGACTCCTTTCACATGATCTGTATAAAAGGCGTATGGGTAGGCTCTGGGCAACGTTGGCTCTGGGGGGGGGGGGGGGGGGCGATTGAATTAGCGTGTCATCGCCTGTGTGCAGTCGGGTGTATGTTGTTTGTGTGTGTTGTGTGTGTTTCATTTGTGTTCTGATTCCGTGTCTATTTTAAAATATTAATACGTGTGCAATGCGAAATAAGCGTTGTTCATATCTGAGTGTAATGAGCGTAGGAAAGTTCTACTCCAGCGATACCATATTTTTACCAATTTTGAATGTGACGTTGACTAGCGCCACCTGGGGGTGTAAGGGCACAACTTAGTAATAAATAAGGTAAGGGCGCAATATTTAGTCCCAGTGGCCTAAATGCAAGGGTGCAAAAGTAGTCCTGGGGGTTCAACTGTGAGGGACTAACGGTTACCGATGCTCCCCTAGGGGACTAATGGCTGTGTCAGCGCAGTTTCTCCTTTGAGGGAGCAAGTCCCGCATCATTTGTTTAGAGTGTGCGGACACGGCCCAACTATATTGTTAGCATGTTTTCTTAATTCATGTAAAACGTCCTTCACAACCGAGTCATATTTTTTATTTTATTTCAAATGGGAACTTGAAGTAAACACGTTTTCAGGAACACGTTTTTTTTACGGCGGCGGACGTAATAACACAGGTATAAAAGGTTCCTTCTATGCTTAACTAAGAATTAAGGAAAGCGGCGCTTTGTGAAAGGTGCTTAGCTCGGGAAAAGAGCCCCAGCAGTGGAAACAGTTTCGCTGCCGTAGAGGCGTCTGAGTGTGACGTGCGGGGACGCGTATGTTAATGGCAACACGTGGCCAAAAGCTTTGGCCAAATTCTAAATCTGCTCGGGGCTCGCTCCCGCGACCCGATTCAAAACTGAAGGTACGTTTATACTCCAACGTAACGTGGACGGGCGCGGCGTAGTGCAGCGTACACTGATACTGATTGGTCACAGATATTGAGTTGCTGGTCGCCGGCCAATAAAAAGCACGCGTTCTGCGCTACGCTGCGTTCACTGCGCTCAACGTTGGAGTTTAAACAGCCCTTGAAAGTCCTCGCGTGCGTCACTCATATAGGATCCTTACCGCTTCTGCTTGTTTTATCAATTTTACACCAACGCGGCGGTACAGTGGCCGTACAGTTTAAAGTTGCCTTCATTAGCGCAACGCATGCAATACCCACGGCAAATGTATAAAGGTTAGTACCTTCGAGACCGCCGACGTGAGACGCATGCGATGATTTTCCATTCAGAAGCGGCTCGAGGGAGCGGGCCCCGAGCCGATTTTGGAGTGGGCCAAAGCTTTTTGTCACGCATTCACAGCAACCTACACGTGTCTACACGTCACACACTGACGCCTGTTCAGCAGGCAAGCTGTTTCGGGTTGGAACGCGCTTTCTCTGAGCTATTTGCGATTTCCCACTGCCGTGGTTGCCAAACTTCGCCACGCGAAGCAGTCAGAACACCTAAGAGGAAAATAGATTTTGGTTTTCGAAAACTCTTCAGCCATTCATCGTCAGAAAACGACGAACTGCAAATCCCTAATCGAAACAGGTTATATAAGACATAAAGCTTAATAGTTAATTAGGTAATTAGTGACTCTTTGTAAATGAAGCATTAAATGAAAACTTTACATTTCCGTCCCTTCGTCCGCTGCCGTGGACAACGCAATCCCAATTAAATCGTGCCTTTATTTTCAGTACATTTTTATATACAGTTGCTCTTATGTATAAAACCCTCCCGTGCATATGCGTCGAACATGTCTGCAGTTTTTGCCTGAAGGCTATGACCGCACTGTTCTACAAAGAACAAACACGCATCAGACTGTCTGCAGTCCGTCCTCTGTACGGTGTGTTAGCAGTGTGGTCGCAACTTTTGGCAAAACGTTCTCCTACGCAGCAACGACACCACGTACCTGGCCCGCATCGGCGGTCTGAACATCTCCGAGGGAAGCAACGACTCGTTCGTGCAGCGCAATGTGGTGTTCGTGCACGTGCACCCGGACTACAACGAGCGGCATCACTACGCCGACGTGGCCCTGCTGCTGCTTGACCGGTCGGGTCGCCAGTCCGACCTGAAGCGTCCCCTCGCCTGCCTGCCGGATGCCGACGACGCTGCGCCGGACACAGGCCAAGCCGTTGTGTTGGGCTGGGGACACGACGTCTTCGGTGAGGGCAACGTAAAGGCGATCGTGTCAAAGTAGATCATATGGTAAGAATGTGAGGGAGAGGAAGAGATCAAAGTTCGTGGTGAAGTCAGATATCCGAACTCTGATTAGATGGATAGTCGGTAGGCGTGGACTAGATGCCTTCGTCTGTACCCGCTGTTTCCCTTCCAATCAGGGCGAACATGAGCTTCGTCTGCTCCTGGCGCGATCTGGCGTTCGATAGCAAGACTGAGCGTGAAAAAGATGACGCTCTTCCCCACTTTGATTGGAAGGTAGATAGCGTGTAGGGACAAGGGCCTAGTCTCGCGTCTACCCCTTCTCCTTCCAATCAGAGCCCTGCGCGCTAACGCAACCTCACACTCTTCATCTTCTCCTCTCTCTCCCTTTCTCAACGTATTCGCGACTCCAACTAACTATAGGTGGCGCCATTCATTTTCGAAGATGGCGGGTTTAGTGAGGGTCAGAGATGCGTGCCGCTGTTGAGCCTGTCTAGTGTGCTGGCTTCACTGAGCGACGCAAATTATTTCTGGTAATACGAGGAAGCTAATGTTTTATGAGCGCAGGTCACCTCTTTAACCTGAAAACAAGAACGGTGTTTAGCGTAATAATTACGGAAGGATGCGCGTTTTAATTCTGGAGCGAAACCGAAACTTACCTCTATTTTGGATTTAATTTTTCGACAGAGGTCTTAATTTCGGATTCTTTCATGGCTCAAGATGTGTCTCACATCGTAATTATTTACTTAGAAAAGTTTTTCGCGGAAACTTTATTTTGTGACATACTGTTCGATCCCGGCTGATATTCGTAGTTGTTGAAAAAATCAGTGCTGATATCTGTGCGTTCTCGATGCCTTTTTCTGGCTCAGATAATTGTCATGGGAAATAATGACAATTATCCCACCACTGCAATAAGAGAATAATTCCAATGTTTACAATGTGTCCACGAAACGCATAAACTAATAAACGCTGCTCTCATTACAACAACCCAAGACGGAATCCGAGTCAGACAGCTGTAATGTGTGTATGTGTTTTTATAGCACCGCGTGACGCATAGGACTTCATATTACATCCAGCGTTTAACTGTTTGTCTATCATGATAACTATGTCAGAGTTTTTCATATGCTAAAAAGAAAACATAATTATACCTTTCTGGAAAGACTATTATGGTTAAATAGAGTATTCTCGTGATCTTTGCGTTAATTAGAGGCATACATTGCCGCGATTTGTATTAATAATAATAATAATAATAAAATTCACATATTTGAATAAGTAATTCTTCAAGCTCTAATGTAATTTGTTGCTTATGACCTAATTTTAAACGCGCGAAGAAATATCACAATGAAAACTGCTAATTATCATCACTGGTTCCAATTGCTGCAAATTAATTACAAATAAAATAAAAATAGTTTAAAATCAATGAAAACATTCTAGCTAATGTGAGAAATCCATGTAAAATTACATTAATTGTGGGTAAAGTATATTGTGCTATCAAAGTCGCGACTTTTGAGAATCGGCGAAACGTCCAAAGTCGCCGCCCATATACTTCCAAATGGTCAAAAGTTAAAAAAAAGCTTTTTTTTAATTAATAGCTTTTTTCATAACATTTATTTACTTTTGTACTTGGTCGCCGTCTTTTTGCCAATCTCAGCCTTTCCAGTTAGAAGGAACGCCTACCTGCTTGTGCGTCTGCTCACTGCAGCACGTTTCGTTGGCGTTGGAAGCCGGTGAAACAGTAGTGAGTTTTAATATTGCGTATACGAGCGAACTCAAGCCCTGTGCGTTTGCGTTCGCTTTGCGCGTTCCACACTGCGCGTGCGCGGAGCCCGAAATCGCGGTCTTGGATGGCGCATGGCGATGAGGCGCACGCACAACGTGGGGCACGCAACTCTAACGCAAACGCACACTGCTTGTGTTTGCTTCTATGCGCAATACTAAAACTCTCCAGTAAGGTACAATCCCATACCGGCTGCAGCACTACGACATTTCGCGAGCGATGATCGCGAGCAGTTCCGCCATGCCCGCTGAGCAGGAGAATCGGGGGACCCTAACTAGAGCGCTTCCCGTTTCCGCAGCGGGAGGGCGAGCGTCGTGCTGGAGACGCGAGTAGTCGCCGACAGAATGAGAACGGCAGGGCGTCTTTCGAACGCCCGTCCTCCGGCTCCGCGCTGCACACTTACCGCCGTGCTCCGACTGCGCGCGCGCGCTCCAGGTGCTCGAGTTGCTGGAGTGTTGTGGGAGCGAGAATGCTCGCGCTGAAGGCGGGACAGCCGAAGCTCCTCCCTTTCATTCTAGCCTTGTTAGTGACAAGAGCACAGAATTAAATACAAATCTATGATAGCGATAGTTATGTATTGAAAGCCTTCGTGGTTATAATTTACTCGTGTTGGTATTCGTCGCACTGCAGCAAGGCCATGGAAGATAGTCCGTGGCGCAGCTGTGGTTAGACCTCATTGCGTCCGAGACCCTTGGCCTTGCGCCGCGCAGGGTTGTGTAATCTGCGTACTCTTCAGCGAGAGTTTAGGGCTCTCTCTGTCATACTCCGACGTTGAGCGCAGCGAACGCAGCATAGAGCATAAAGTAAGCCGTTCTTTGGCCGTCAAACAGGAACTCGATATCTGCGAACCATCAGCCTTGGTGTGCGATACTTTACGCCGCGTTCGCAACGTTCACCTTTTGTTGTCTAACAGAGCCTTAAGAAATGCCGGCAGTGGTGAGTATGGAGCTTCTGATTTTGGTTCCCCGGTCAGTCAGATTCCCCCACGAGTGAATATGTTCACCGAAGAATAAGTGACACACCAAGAAGTTCTAATAAGTTGAGCAACGCCCAGTGATTCATAAGTTCTCGCCGACAAAACTCATTTTTGCTATACGCCTGTGTATAATATATGTATATCAAAATCGCCTTCCCGTGCAGCTAGGTATTTTTATATTCTAAGTTAGCATTAATTCTTGTTTTGTTTTTGTTTCTGTCTTCTCCAATTCTCTTAAAAGCGGCCAAGGAGTTATTTTCAACTGATTGGTAATTACCAAAGCGCACGCGTGGAACTCCAGTTATAAATATACCCAAAGATAATGATTTAATAAACACAGTGCTGGTACTACACCTTGTAAACTAACGCTTTAAAGCAATTTATACGACCCGCCAAAATGGGTTTCTCAACGCATTGTGCTGCGATTTGCTACGTTCAAGCAGAGAATAGAAGATTGCAGTGACAAAAACCAAAAAGTAATCTTACGTCGTTAAAAAAAAAAAAAAAAAATGAAAAGCATGATAGAAACGACCCTTGGGCGATATACGCCGCCACTTTGCAAACGGTGCACGCTTAGTGAGAACTACTGCCGACAGATGGTGCACGCCCCGTCTCGGCAGCACCAGCCAATTTAGCGGTAAGTTGTAATCGTAGAAGACCCTGTGAAAGAACCCGAATCGGCCGGCGCGACTTCGACGCAGCGTACGCCATGTGTCGGCAGCACTTATCGCGACGCGTGGGTTGTCTGCGAAGGGGCGGCGTAAATTGCCCAGAACAGGTTTCTACTTCTTTTTTTTTTTTTTGTTTGAAAAATAAATTTAGCTTATTTCTTATATTTTAACTGTTAACTTCCTCTAACTGTTTGTAACTTTAAAATAAATTGCAGTGCGATGCGTTTAGAAAACAATTTTTCCAGATCGTCTAAATGGTCTGAAAGGCGTTAGTTTACAAGCTGTGTAGTGGGTCTTAACTTTACTAAATGCACATTGTTTTGAATTGCACCAGACAATTAGGACAGGATTGTAGCTAGCCAGAAACAACATTTATTCTCTTAAAGGGGTTCTGCAAGGACATTTTTTACTGGTTTTTAATTTGCCCTGAACCTGAGCGCACTGAACGTACTAACCTTATGAAACTTTTCTTTTCTAGAATTTCGGTTTATTTTAAAAGTTATAGGCAAATTAAAATTACAAAAACAAGCAACAAATAACCTCCTTCATATGACGTCCTTGGTTGCTTGAGTGGCCGAGAACTAGAGGAGGGAGAGTGAGCTCATCGAGTGCTTATGGCTGCCCAGTGCGGCTGCCACACTCTGCGTCGACGGCTCGAGAGGACGCCACTAAAGCGCGTTCTGGCTAGGCAGTATGAAGCGGGCAGCCGCGGCACTTCGCATTGCATTTACTGCGCGAGTAAACACTAATTTGGCATGACACTTCACGGGCCACAAACGACAACAAACACGGGGTAAATATCAGTTCAGAACGGGAGCCACTTCCCGCTGCCATACCGCCGAAAGGCTAAACCGCAAGCCGAAGCAGCTCGCCGAAGGCCTTGGGAACGCTCGAAACCGGTCGGATCTTCCGGTCGATACGACCGCAGCGCCGCGTACACCCAGGCAGACTTGTACGTAGTTCAACTACTCTACTCAAGTTACTACAGTTTAACTACTTTTCTAGGTAGTTTAGTAACTTTTAATTACATTTTTATTTCAGTAATTTGTAGTTTACTTTAATTACTTTTTCTGAGTAACTTCTACTCAAATTACAAATTACTTTCAAATTTTTGTGATTTTTTTTCCTATCAACAAACATTCCTGCACAAAAGAGATAAGAGGTTGGAAGATCAGCTGATATGCAAAGAGGGGAGAGCATGTACCGTAGGAAAGGGAGGGGGAAATTGGGTTGGAGAGTCCGAAACCCTCCAAAAGTTTCCTTCCCCCTCCGCTCACTCCCCCCCCTCCCTCCCTCCCTCCCTCCCTCCCCCCCCCCCCCCCCCCCCGCCCCCCCCCTCTGCAACAACTCTGCTACGAAGCGCGGGGAGCGAACAGGCACGACGCACGAGAGCCCGAGTAACTGCGGGATTAGCGCCGGAGATTTTACCCATTCGAAGAAAGGGCTGGATCCCGGTTCTCCCCAACGTAGAAACTCTCGCCCATTAAAGGAGGCGCACATACTGTATCCTCGCTCAAAGGAGGCAACAAAATGCAGCACCTGCTCTGAAGCTCATCTGGTGCTCCTGTAGTTTGTGCTGTA